GCGCTTATTTGCTCAAAACAAACCGTATTTAAAAACATAGAGCAAAAATATTGTGATTTTTAAAAATATTTCATTGTTAATTACCGTACTAGTAGATTAGCCTATTTTTTAAATTTTTCATAATCATAATCAAATAAAATATACAAATCTTTGATTCACCTTTTAAATTATAAACAACAGTATTAATGGAACAAAGTTCGTCAACGTCCAAAATGGAATGTTTTCACAGAAATTCTAAAACCTGTATAAATTTGGAAACAAAAAATCAATTTAAAAAAATAAAGATTCAGAATAATATATGCGGAGCAGTTAACGGAAAACAGGGTATCATGTGAACAATCATAATACATAGATTTGATAAAATTCAAATTATACCATATATTAACTTATAACATTTTCTTTCAATTTGTTTTCAATTTTTACTGAAATAATAAAATTTTCGAAAATTGTCAGCAAATGTTTCATAATTATAATTGTAATAATTCTATCTCAGAGTTGTGTATCGATCCTCTTGGTGTTGAAGATGGGACTATTCCTGATGAACAGCTATCCGCATCAAGTGAACATAAATCTCGGGTTGGGGCACATCGTGGACGACTGAACATTGAACAAGATAGTGGGGGGAGAGGAGCATGGCGTTCAAAAACCAATGACCAATATCAGTGGATCCAAGTTGACCTCGGCAAACTGCATAAGGTACATGGAATAATCACACAAGGCCGCAACAACGAAAACTTCATACACTGGGTGACGTCTTATGAGATTTTTCACAGTGTCGATGGTAACCTGTTTCAACCAATCAGGAAAACAGATTGTCAAGTAACTGTAAGTGTCAATAAAAGTTTCTTTCCAAATATATTTACACATATTATTTTTTCTTTTTTATTGAGAGTAATCACTTGTATGTTATATCAAAATAATATCCAAAAAATTAAAATTTGAAAATTAACAAGAAAATAAATAAATAAATAAATAGATAGGTAGATAGATAGATAGGCAGACAGACAGCCAGCCAGACAGCCCGACACACCGACAGACAGACAGACAGACAGACAAATAAATAAATAAATAAATGAATGAATGAATGAACGAACGAACGAACGAACGAACAAATAAATAAATAATTAAATAAACAAAATAAAATAATAATATTTTGACATTTATATCTGCTATTTCGCTTTCTTTTTTACAGTATATAATGTTTTATATTTGTCATTCTGTTTTTTTGCAAGTTGTCTGTTACATGTTTTAGGAAATATCGTGTATTCAAAAATTTCTATATATTTGAAGACAAATAAAGTTTCTTGTATCTTGTATGTGTTTAGAACTTAAAGTTTACCTTTAGATTATGTGATAAAATATTGTTGGAAAACATTTTCTCTGAACCTTTCTTCGAGTAATTTGTCCGTATTCATCCATCTGACTAGTAAACATACATATTTATATAAGGCCTGTTATCATCATATATATATATATATATATTTTATTTAGTTGGTCCGATGATTTTGTTTTATACTATTTCATTTTTATGGGGTAGGGCTCCTGACCATGGGAACCTTGAACCTTAAGGCCCCGGTTCATCGAAGCGCATGCTGATCCACAGGTAGTTACACCTCTGGTTATATTCGAATAATGTGCTGAGAAAGCAATGTTAATCATAAGATTATGTGATATTTACAGAGGTTTGTTGGAAATTCAGATCAAGACACTAACGTGACAAACATATTCCCTGACCCTGTCTACGCCCAATTCGTCCGTATTCATCCAGTTGACTGGCATGGCCATATAAGTTTACGATTTGAGGTTCTTGGATGCTCAGCAGGTAAATAAAAATAATATACCAATTAGATTTAAATTAAA